GAGCTGCGAGCGCTGGAAGACGCGATTTATCGCTTTAAACAGGAAGCTGGAGACTAAGACGGAGAAGGCGGCGACGCAGCAGGTACAGAGCGTGGTCAGAGACCTCGTGACGAGTGTGGAGATGGATACACTCCGGAGTGATGCAGAGAATACACAGACGCGGTTGGAATGGTCTTTGTGGCTCCAGGAGGACACTGCCTCGTGTCTAGCGAAGAGCAGCAGGGAGAGGCAAGAGACGGAGGCGTTTGAGGCCATGGAGAGGCAGCTGATGGCCGATCGAGTAGTCGAGTTGGAGACGCAGCTGGCGCAGAAGCGGGCGGTCGAGAGAGAGAAGGAGGTGGAGCTGTCGTCGCTCAGAGAAGCTCAGGAGGACCAAGTCTTGGCAAAGCAGGAGGTTGCAGCGCTAGAGGACGAGAAGAAGAGACGAACGGAGGAGTTGACGCAGATGAAGAACAAGATGGAGGCTGTGGAAGCGGAGAAAGCGACGTTGAAGCAGCAGAACAAGAAGCTAGTGGAGGAGGGCGAGGAGATCGAGAAGCTGCAGCGGGCGTTTAAAGCCAGAGACGCCAAGATGATCACAGTGTTGAAGACGGAGAGGGAGAAGAGCAGCCAGCGCAAACAAGAGCTCCAGATCTTGTACGCCAAGTTCAGCTCCTCGATGGATTCGGTGTCCGAGAAGGCCATGCGGCTAGAAGAAGTGGAGCAGCAGCTGCGAGACGCTCAGAGTGACGCGCGTGCTGCGGAGACTCGGCAGAAAGAGCTCGAGAGGCAGACTACCTCGCTACAAGAGGAGAATTCCAGCTTGTTAGCGCTCCAGCAACGCGAAAAGGAAGGCGCAGAGGAGGTGCAGACACAGCTAAGAGAGCGCAAGAAGGTCGAGAGCCAACTGCTGGCTGAGATCGCGCAGTTGAAGGCCCAGAACGAGGCTCTGAAGCGCCAACAGGACGAACGAGAGCACCAAAGTGTTGGCCAGCCGTCTACTGAACGAACCATAGACGACGAGAGCACGCTTGTGGCTCAACTGGCGGAGAAGGAGGCGCTACAGATGTTCATCCGGCGCTATCACTCCACGGCGGAGGACAAGTGCCGCCAGCTGATGGAGAAAGTGAGCGCGCTGGAATCGCTGAGAGCGTCGACTCAGACGCAGACGGAAGAGAGCTGCACTGGAGAGGTTAATTAACCGAACAGGATAGAGTGGCCGAACGTACTCTGTGATCGCCTGCGCGAGTCTGAGCTTGTTTTCCGTGTCGAGATTCGTCGTGGGTTCATCCAGCGCCAGTATGCCACAGTTCAGGCAGAAGGTCTCAGCTAGCGCCAAGCGGATCACCAGAGCCGCGAGGACTTTCTGTTCCGCACTGCAGCGTCGATTGTAGCTTCAGCCTTCTTCATCACGACACGGTAGCTGTATGAGCGAGCAGCTTTCGACACTGCGCCATCCTGCTGTCCGGTTACCAACTCCATAGTGTCGATATCCTGCCCCTTGTACGTGATCTGCCATCGTGTTGATCTCCTGCACCTTCTTCGAGTGATACTGCAGCAACGACTCGTCCAGCGCCTTGAAGTAACGACCTAAGTCGGTCACGGCCATCTGCGTCGTCTCGAACTAGATCAACTTGTGTCGGTACTTCTCTTCGACGTCCTTCAAAGTCGGGACACGGAGATTGGCCTTCTGCTCGCGAAGTTCCTTTAGCAACTGTTGTCTCTTTCCCACCATCACGGAGGCCGAGTGTTCCGCAAAGCTCAACGCCGCATCCGCCGATTCAACTCGATCGTTCACGTCGTCCAGTGACGGTAACTTGCCGATATGATTCTGGAGATCTGCGACCTCAGCGCGCATCTTCTCCAGCTGCTTTTGGAGCTCACGGTAGTCGATATTGTCTTGGATTTGGCGCTTTCCAACCTCATTCGGACTCAGATTCGTCTGCGCACTCTGCATCTGCGGTGCCAGATCTGCCGACGCCTGGACTGCTGTATCCTCTCGCTGCTTCGTTTGGGCGATTGAATCACTCAGCGCTTGGACTTGGCGCTCCAGTTTGGCAAGCTCTCCATGCTGGCCTTGCTTGCATTTATCACTGAACACGCGAAAGTCTCCCTGGCGTTGTTGGAGCTCAGATCGTTGGCCATGTAGCTGTTCGCTCGCCTCTTTTCGTCTCGTCTGGCGTTGCGGAGATATCGCTCGAACCACGCGCCCCACCTCGGGCTCCGTCTTCTTCATCTTCGCACAGGCTTCTTTCAACGCATTCTTGCTCCCGTAACCTGTTCTGCTCTTTGACAGCCTCGTCGTGCTCCTTACGCTGCGTCTCAAGTCGAAGGTTTTCCTCCTACCGCCAGCTTTGCAATCGAGCAAGACAAGTGACGAAAAGGCAAGAAAAAAGATGGGAGTCTCAATTATTTTGTATGGAGCGATTACTAGCAGCGGTTTTTGTATGAGACTGCTGTTGGCACTGGATAGACAGCCGCGGCATCGATAGCAAGCGCTTCCGGCTGCCGTCGACAGGCACAAGTGGCCGGCCGGTCGATACTTTTGTGTGAGAGGTGAGCGCGGTAGTGGTGACCTTCTAACTACCATCCCCAGCCGCCGAAGCCACCCCAGCCACCCCATCCACCGCAGCGACCCCAACCACCGCAGCCTCCCCACGGGCCTCCCCATCCGAACCCGCCGCCGCCCCATTCCTTCTTCTTCTTCTCGTCGCCGTCTTTGTTGTCGGTATGCGTGGCCTCCTTGCCGGTAGCGTCGACAGAAGCAGTGGGCGAGGCGGGTTGCTGCACGTTGTGCTCCGCAGCGACAGGAGCGACAGGTTCGGGCACGGCGAGAGCTCTGAGAGCCGGCTGGTAGTCGTTGGCGAACGCGGCGGACGCGACGGCGACTAGCGTGGTAAACAGGAACAGGATCCACCCCGGGACCAACGGAAAGAGGATCCAATCTGGATAGAGACGACGGAGGAGAACTCGGAAAAGGTGGACTCTAGGTGGATCCGAGCTCAACACGAAATTCGTGGAGCTGAGGAACAGGATCGCGACCACACCTATCCTCCGTCATTTCGATCCGGAACGTCAACCTACGGTGATAGTTTATGCTAGTGACTGGGCAATACCAGCAGCCTTGGTACAAGAACATGAGGGGATCTGCCATCCAGTCACCTTCGTCAGCCGAACGCTAAAGCCGAATGAGCTGAATTACGGAGCGGTGGAGATGGAAATACTCGCACTCCTACGGGTGTTGGATCTCAATTATAACCTGCTGGTGGGAAGATCCATCCGCATCTTGACTCGACACTCTACGCTCGCTTGGCTGTTCAAGTCGGCCGGTCTACAAGGACGGTTGGGGGCAATGGGTTTAGGGTTTAGGGCCAGGGAATCCCGGGACCCCGTCTGTGTTAGGACGCAGATCTTATATTGACGACATTCTAATCCCGGCAGAATCGTGGGATCAGTTGTGCGAAAGAGTGACATCCCTACTGGAGGCGTGTACTACGTGGAATCTCTCTATCAGCGTGGTGAAGAGCTACTGGAGATGCGCAAGGTGGATTACTCAGGTCATCGAGTCTCTAAATAGGGGCTGGAGGCGAATCCTAAAGACCTGTCTTCGTTGGCAGACTTGTCCTTCCCACAGTCGTTACGAGCGATGCAATCCTTCTTGGGCAGTTTGAACTACTACAGTCGGTTCATCGAGGATTATGCACTGTTTGCTGCGGTACTCTATGAATTGAGAGAGGTGCATTTTGCTGCGATGACCACTTCAGCCGTCCGGATCAAAATCCAACAAGATCTGGCCCTAGGGATCCTGGATCCTCGAAGGGATCCAAGTAGTACGACGCCAGAAGAGGACCTAAACTAAAACAGAGCTGGATCCACCCCGGGACCAACGGAAAGAGGATCCAATCTGGATAAAGACGACGGAAGAGAGCTCGAAAAAGGTGGAGCCTCGGTGGATCCGAGCTCAGCACGCGTTCGTAGAGCTAAGGAACAGGATTGCGACGACACCCATCCTCCGCCATTTCGATCCGGAACGTCAGCCTACGGCGATAGTTTATGCCAGTGACTGGGCAGTCTCAGCAGCCTTGGTACAAGAACATGAAGGGATCTGTCATCCAGTCACCTTCGTCAGCCGGACGCTAAAGCCGAATGAACTGAATTATGGAGCGGTGGGGAAGGAGATACTAGCGCTCCTGCGCGTGTTGGATCTCAATTATAACCTGCTGGTGGGAAGATCCATCCGGATTTTGACTCGACATTCCACACTCGCCTGGTTGCTTAAGTCAGCCGGTCTACAAGGACGGTTGGGATAATGGGCAGCTTTACTCTCACCTTGGACACTGGAGATTATGAAATGTTCGAAAGGGGAGACGAGATCCTGGGAGTTTTGGCCGCGAGCATCACACCTCGAGCTAAGATGGATGAAGCGCTGACTAGGATCGCTCCTAAGACCCAAACGCCGGATCCAGATCCCGATCCCGACGGTACAAGTGGATGAGGATCTGTACGTCCTGAGTTTCGATGGATCCGCTCGCGTACGACGTGGAGGAGGAACATACAGCGCAATATTGTGGAGACTGCCCGGATGGGAAGTCGTAAGGGCCAGATCCACTTATGCGGAGGGCCTCACCGTCAATGAAGCAGAGTATAACGGACTCCTGCTGGGTCTGGATCTACTAAAGGGACAGGATCCGAAAAGGCTGGTGATTTGTGGGGAATCAAACTTGGTGATCAGACAGGTGCGAGGCGAGATTGACTGCAAGGCCCCGGCCCTAACACTATTACGGCAGAAAGTGATGGTCCACCTGCGTGGTTGGATGAATCACGAATGGTACATGTCAAGCGAGATTGGAATGCCAGTGCGGATATCTTGGCCAGTGCCGCTTTACGGAATCAATGTGGTGTCGAGGTGGAGAGAGAGGCCGAGCATCAGGATCTCGTCATGTTGAACCGACTAGACGAGGTGGTGGTGGTTAGATCCGGAAAAGGGACAGTCCAGGTAATGGCTGTCACTAGATCCAGAGGAAGGATTGGATCCAGCCCCCAGATTCCCGATGAAGCATTTGTGAAGGGAGTCCGCATTGGGCGGATCCTCAAGGCACAGAACGAAGAAGCGTGGATCTTGGGACTAAAGAAGTATCTGATGGGGGATGTACGAGATCTGAGTCGGGAGGATACCAAATCCTACAGTTTCATCGCTACGGATTATGCAGTGGGATCTGAAAGTCTCTGGGTAGTGTTGTGTTGTGTACCAGTTTAGGGTGCAATACGAGCGGGTTCCAGCTGCAGCCTTGCTGCGAGGGCCCGCAGCCTGTGTATACGAAGTAGGAGGCTCGGTAAGAAGCAGTAGCAAGTAGCGGAGATACCCTGACCTGTGGCAAGTAGTGCGGGGCTATGTGTGTCGTGAGCGGGTGTGCTGACGGCGTTGGCACTGCTGGAGCGCGGCATGCGCGTGGTGTAAGTGGGGGTTTATAACACCCCCCCGGGTGTGTTTAGCTTGTGGGTGGCTCTTAAAAAGAGCCCATTTGTTTGTTTTTTGGTTTTTGGGAGATTGCGCATATATACCGCTCCGCTTGTCGCGAGGTTTCCCAGGGGTTTAGTTCCCGGTCTTAAGTTTTTCCAAGCGTGGGTTCAAGCCCAGGCGACTATCTTTTGCGGCAACTTAAGATCTTGCAGTGTCTATAGCGTGCGGCACGCGCCTCCTCTGCGATGAAACGGGTGTGTATGTGTTTCTTCAGAGCGCTGCACACCATTGCAGTCAATCGAGCATCGATCGCGAGGCCACACGTGTCCACTCACCGGCAAATGCTTGTATCCGCTTTGCCAATCTGGATGCTTCGGTGTTGTCAAAATATGGCTTGCGGGGTCCAATGCACCGAGCATGATTTAGTGTGGCGAGTTGCGTATCCTTGGCAGTGTCGAGTGCTTGATGAAAACGGTTGAGTCGAGTGAGACTCGATCGGCCGACCTTGGGAGGCAGTCTCTGGGTAGTGTGGTGTTGTGTACCAGTTTAGGGTGCAATACGAGCGGTTTCCAGCTGCGGCCTTGCTGCGAGGGCCCGCAGCCTGTGTATACGAAGTAGGAGGCTCGGTAAGAAGCAGTAGCAAGTAGCGGAGATACCCTGACCTGTGGCAAGTAATGCGGGGCTATGTGTGTGGTGAGCGGGTGTGCTGACGGCGTTGGCACTGCTGGAGTGCGGCATGCGCGTGTTTAGTGTGTTTATCGTTTGGGTGCGTTTAAAAAGCGCATTTTGTTGTTTATGGTTTTGAGTCGGATTAGCCCGTCAGTTTGCCCGAGTGGTCTAAGGGGTTACGTTCAGGTCGTAATGTTTTCGAACGCGTGGGTTTAAATCCCACAGCTGACATATCCTTTTGCTGGCGAACATTAACGATCGTTGCAGTGTCTATAGCGTGCGCACGCGCCTCCTCTGCGATGAAACGGGTGTGTATGTGTTCCTCAGAGCGCTGCACACCATTGCAGTCAATCGAGCATCGATCGCGAGGCCACACGTGTCCACTCACCGGCAAAGGCTTGTATCCGCTTTGCCAATCTGGATGCTTCGGTGTTGTCAAAATAAGGGCTTGCGGGGTTCAATGCACCGAGCAAGGATATAGTGGTGGGCGAGTTGCCGTATCCCTTGTGATGTGTCGAATGGCTTTGATGAAAACCGTTTGGATT